ATATTACCTGTACATCACAACTTTCAATCGTTTTTAGATATGTCAAAGATGGTAATGTGGTAGAACGTTTTATGGGTTTTCATGATGTTTCATCTGGGCGCACAGCTGACGATTTGTTCAATTTTTTAATTCGTACGTGTAACACCTATAATTTTAGGCAAAATTAATTGCGCAAACCTATGATGGGGCTGCGGTCATGGCCGGCCATTTAAATGGTTTACAAACTAAAATAAAGTCCATAGCTCCTCATGCACTTTTTACGCATTGTCATGCCCATGCCCTAACTTTAGTATTAAGCAAAGCGTGCAACAACATAAAAATTTTCGCGCCTTCGGTGGGCTTTTCTGTGTGTATATAGTCTATATGACTTAAGCCTCCCCTGTTCTCCAATGCACGAGCCGTCACTGACATAATCCTTAAGGTTTTGGGCGGGAAAAGCGGCCTGTTTCGGATGCATTCTCGCCATGGACTCTCTTCGTGAGGGTTCACTCTTCTCGTAGCAACATAATATTCTACCTTCCGGGTGCGTCTGGGATGCTGATCCGGTTATGCCCTAGTTGCTAGTTGTGGTGGCGCAACTCACCAAATGCCTTAGATGTTAGTCGCCATCCCTACTAATTTCAACTGTCGATTATATGTTATAATCAACAATTAACAATGTCGATTATGAAATAAAGATGCTATGTGACCCTTCAGTGCCTTCTTATTATAAGAATAGCCATGTATCTGAAATTTAAACAGATGGGCGAAAGGTGTCATCCTCTCTTTGCATTGTGTTCTGTACTCCTCGAGTTGTAAAATTTATGTTTGGGAAAACAGGTAAGTTAGCTCCCAAACAAGCTAGTGAAAGACCATAGGCTTTCACGGCTGGAGTCGCAATTAAAGAGAACAAAATTCGGTCTGGTACGCCATGGTCGATTTGAACATGAAGTAGCAAACGTTTCGCCCGCTACTGTGCTGAAATTCATGAGTAGTATGTACATTGTCTGAGAGGACTGAGGTTATATCTCTCGAAATCCCAGCAACGACTGTTACGTGTCATTGGTCATCACAGAAAAACCCGTCAATTCGTTTTATCAGCTCACTTGCTTGATGCAGATGTTTGTCCCTAGACTTTTTCTCTAGTGAACGAATTTGACATCACTGTGTAAAATGTCATTCGGTCATTCGGCACTCGGTATCGGTAAATCGGTACGTCAAAATATTGTTTGGTTACTTTGGTTTATTGCTAATTATAATGAGTTTCATGGAAGTTGAAAGTTATTAAGAACTAATTTTAGTAAAAAAGAAAATGCTCAAAATGAAGCTCTCGTTGTATACAGTATTGGATATTGCGGATTTTAAAGCCACTTTTATATTTTTTATTATGGTAAGAATATTTCTATAAGTATTTCAGTGTGCCACGAATCACTGATCACAAATTTTTTGAATACACACTGCTTGATTTCATACTTGTATTTATCATCTTGACCATTTTATGTTTCAATATTGTGCTACTTCAGATTGGACTTGATTTTTGTAATAACTTGCCTGGCTACCTAGAAGAGGTTAAACAAAATCTACCTAACTGAATTCCTTCATAATTGGCAAATTTTGAATACTCCTCAGGAATAGTATTATATAGTTTCGGAGCCAGGTAAGTATAAGAGTGGAAAATTGATTTTTGTGTCTGGGGAAAAACATGATCATTTTTTCTCCGGCTGTTGTGCAAGTGAGTCGGTAGAGTGAAATTTCTGGTAGTGGATGATAATTATTACTAAACGAGTTGTCGAATATCAAAAACTTTTGCTTCGTTGAACAGAATTTCAGTTGAATAATAATCAGGAACCTGTTTTGTAGCACCTCAAAAGAGCGAAGGTGCGTATAGTAGGTTACTCTCCAACAAGCAATTCCGTAGCTCAGGTGACTCGCTATAAGTGCATGGTACAAAATTTTGATATCAGAGTTCGTTAATATTTTTACCAAAAATTTAAATTTAAAAAGTATGCAACGCAATTTATTACAAATATACTGAATATGAGCATCCCGTTCAAGATGTGAATCTATTATTACTCTTATTTCACTTTAGCTTTGGGAAGTATTACATATTGATCAATTTTCAGTTGTAAAAAATAAGGTTTGCTGGAATTATTGCAACTGAAAGGTTTATAGTGACTTTTTTTCAGATTCACTGTCAATAATCGATGTTCGACAGCATTTGACACTGTTCAACTGTGTCAAATGCTTTCCACAAGTCAATGAAAACGTTTAGGCATTGTTTATTCTCATTAAGAGCAGATGCTATTTCTGCAGTAAGAGCTAAGACTGCGTCTTGGATAGATAATTTTTCACGAAACCCAAATTGACGGTCAGACGGTGTGTATAGTAAGTGCTAAGGGTCGGTAGTTGATAATGTTTGTCTCATCTGGTTTAATCTTCCTCTTGAAGATGATCACTTGGTGATCGAAATACGTGTCGAGGTGTTAAAAATAACGATTTGGTGTTGGGAAAGAAACTCAAGTAATATTAATCTCCTTATGTTTTTTTTGAAAGCTGTTGGCTAGAAATCATTTTCCATACATTTGTTAAAAATGAATGTCAAAGGTTCCTCTATATATGATCATATTTAGTTTCTGATTGAACGTAAATATTGATCTATTTCAATAACAATAACGACATAAAGTACCCAATTCATAATTTCGAATACTGGCATAAATAGATTTTGTTTTCATAGCACTTCGTAGAAAAATAAAGGCAAACGATTTGATAGCTGAAGTAACATTTGTACATTTCCGTTTGGAATTTTGGTATAGCAAACAAGCCTCTTCTTGGAATANATGAGCAGTGGGAATGAAGCTCTTTTCGCTACCAGCATGAACAACAATTATTCGTTGTTCTTTTGAAATGGGCCTAGCTAGTCTTACATTGGAATTGTATGTGAAGCAGGAATGTATGTTTCATCCATATATATATATATATATAGAATCGTTTTGTTTTATTGTCTGTACGATTTGATGACACGTAAAAAAGCTATTCTTAATTGATGAATACCATGTCTCTCCAATAATATTTGTTATTTGTTTTCGTTTTCCTCCAGCGGAATACCATCGATTTTACTACTTTACGAAGAAAATCTCCTCCTGTGTATCCAGTTTCTTTAAATTTCCTTGAAATATTCGGCATTGTAGGCACAATTTTGTCAGTGGTATAACTATTTATGATAATTATACGTAACAAACTTTTATCTGCGTTGTCTAAATCTGTTTTATGTTTTTCCTATTATTCGTTTTAGTTGGCGATTCAAAAGAAGAATTGCACCAAGTTCTATTTTCCTTTGTTCTGTAACAATTCTTCGAATAATTCTTTCTGAAACACCTGTTGCAGCAAGCACTCTTTCGTACATATTATCTAATTGAATGTTGAGTACCCACGACGTCTTTTCTTTCTCCAGATATTTGAATATATCAAAAACAACTTCCCGAGTTGAAAATTTGCAATTAACTTTGAAACTTCATCACTAACTGAATACGAACCTGAATTTGAATGTTCACGCCTCGAATAATCTAACAGACTGATAACAGATTGTTATGCACTACTCAAATAATATTAAGTACCCTTATTCTTCTATCCAATAGCTGAGGTGCGTGAATTCGTACCCATTCTCAAATGTCGGTTGGGGTGAGTCCACGAGTATAATTTTATTTGATTTTCCTGAGTTGATTTAAATGGGCGCCACTAGTTCCTATTCGAGTTCTCACTTCGGTGCCCTTCCATATTCTTGTAAGTCAAGTAAATAAGATTTTATTTCAAATCTTATTGCACAATAGAGAAAAAGGTACAATTTCGAAACACCAACACATACGCACGACCAGAAAAGACCTTGTTTATCAAAACCCAGATCGGACCAATGTAGTTTTTGAA